CCCCAAAACCCCAAAACCCCAAAACCCCAAAACCCCTTTATTTTTGACTCTTTTTGACAGAGAAAATGATTATTATGATAAATTTCCCTAGAATTCTTAAGGCTTATTATGTATCACTTGAAATAGACATGCTAGCGTCAATATCTGTGTTTCAGAGAGGGCACTTGGGTGTCACTGATATCCAATCTCCCAATCATCTTGAGTGGAAAAAGTGCTTTTGGGTTCAAGGAAGCCGGATCATTTGATCCTCAGGTGTATATATCTCCATTCAAATGATGCAAAATTCTTCAGGGTCAATTTTGGAGTAGGAGACATCAAGTGATTTTCTTCCAAAGATTCTCTCTTTAACTGATCTCGATCTCCTATTGGAATTTCTTCAGGTAAGATAAGTTTGAATTATCATCGAAAGCAGTATACCAGAGAGAATAAGGACTATTAAGAATAACTTACAGAAGAACCATAGAGCTTCAAGAGTCAGGATCGTATGCAGATAGAACAAGTGTTTGGCTTCGGTATTACAGTTGTTAGCTTTATTAAAAATACAGACTTAATACATATCAAAACCATCCACTTGAAGGAATAGCAATCATTGAAGAAATTATCTCAATATGCTCTGGCTCCAGGTAGTTTTTAATTAACAGCATTGTTATAAGAGTTATTATAGGAATAACTATACCTCCTTTGATAATTATAATGAAGCTTTGCAAAAAGAGTTTATAGCCAAGTATCAGTCTTCCCTCATTCCAAGGTAGAAAAGTGTTGAAATGATCAGAAATAGCACAACCTCATACGTTAAGTTCAGAATACATCTTTTTATGTTTTTATGTCTAATATTCGGGTCTATTTCCCCTCTGAGTTCATCTAGAGTGAGTCCTGTGAAGCTGAAGTCCTATATCATCTCATAATCCTCTCTGACTAAGTACAAATGTTTATGAATAACTTAGTGAAGTGTTCTACTTACCATTTTTGGTATCAGAAATTTTTAAGAAATATTATAAATTAGGGGTTTTGGGGTTTTGGGGTTTTGGGGTTTTGGGG